ACTTTTCTGGACCTTGAACGTGGTAGTTACCTTGCTGTCTATGGGAGGGTCAGAGAGCCCTCAGATTTCATCAAAAATATCTTAAATTGTGTTCCGAAGATGAACGAAGGTCTTACGGGTTTGGAACAACACGAGGGTGAGTAATTAATGACAGAATTTAAATTTTTGGGTGAACTAACCCTTTAAGTTTAAATATTCTACCAGCTTTTTCACTTTCTTTAAAGCCTGAATTATTTTGTCCTTGTGTGGGTCCACTTCCCACATGTATTTTCATTTTTGGGTGAACTACCCCTTTAAGGGAAATGCAAGAGGCAACTCAAGTACATCACTAACAGAAAAAGAAATGTAGAACTTTAAATTGTTTGTTCCTAATCTAAAGAAACATAAACCTCAGGTCTTCCGGTGGTGTATAAATGTTTCTATTTAGTTAAAATAGAAGTCAAATGAATTCATGAGAGTAGAATACTGTACCGAGTACAGAGTACAGGTGGCCATACGATAAGTTAAGGTCAGTCACCTGCTGGGAAGCCCATGACGCTGAATATGCGATCTAACTGGTCGTGATGGAAAGGATTGCTGGTCTTTATGTCCTCTTGTCGACAATGAAAGATTGGTTCTGACGTCAACAGCTCCGCAAAGATACAGCCTATTGCCCAAATATCTAAAAAGTCAAAGAATATTTAGTACAGATAACAAAGAATACAGACAGACAGCCTGAAATGCACACAACACATAACGTACCGATTGCTTTGGTGTAGTGTCTCGCCCCGAGCAGTAGTTCGGGTGCTCGGTACCAGAATGTGACGACCACTGGGTCCAGATCAGCCAAAGGCTTCAGTGGAGAGTTAAATAGTCGGGCAAAACCCATATCAGCTAAGACACACAAACATAGAAACCCATAAATACTCCACTCTGATCACAGGGACAGGGATCATTTCAGCTTTAGGTGAGCTATGCATTTTGTTTTTCACAAGCATAGGAAGAGAAGACTTTTTACTAGTAACGAACAGTCGTTGGTATGCATTTTAATCAATATGAAGAACTGGTGGGTTTTAGGGGTCATGAGGTGACAATGTGGCATCATAATTTTAATAATATATGTATTATTGAAATAGTATTTTAATATAAAAAAAAAAAAACATTCTACAGAACATTCTAGAGACTATTTGATCAGTGTTGCCAAGTCTGTAGTTTTCCTGTAAATTTCCTACTGTAAATATATTAAAACTTAATTTTTGATTAGTAATATGCATTGCTAAGAACTTCATTTGGACAACTTTAAAGGTTTAAAGGTTTTGATTTTTTTGCACCCTCAGATTCCAGATTTTCAAATAGTTGCATCTCGTAATAGGTATACCCAGAACGCGATTTTTGATGTGATTTTATAGATATTTTTCTCATGAATGCAATTGAGCTAGTTTTGAGGACCAGTTGTGCTGGTTATGCTGTGCAGACCTGGCAACCCTGCATTTGATCTATATAAAAGTGGATATTTTGCTATTTTCAAAACTTAATGGAAATTGTTGGCCATGTTTTGTCCCATGTGTCATATAACCCATGAGAGATTAAATAATTAGTTGTGCTGCTTACGTGAAGTGGCTCCAATGCTAAAGTGAGTCAAGGTAACACTGAAAGCCACAGAGTAACCAAACACAATAACAAGTTCCACAGGCTGGAAAAAATAGTGCCCACAGCCCTGAACAGTCCTCACCCAGAATAGTGTCTTATGTAAGACAATGGCTTCACATTTGCTCAGACTGACCCTACAGCCACATAAGCTCTCTAAACCTTGGCATTATCACCTAAAACGAAAATGAGTCGACCAAAAAAAAAGGTTCAGCAGCATTACACAAAATCTCATTTTCTTCTCTGATAATTTCAATAAAAGACATTTTCCACTGAGGAAATTTTGATAATTATATATTGCATTGTATATATTGCAATTATACATTGTAGTCAGTATGGCATTTTACCAATTTTGACTCTTCCTCGTTCTGGGCCTTCCCCCATGACCAGGATATTGGCAGGTTTCTGAAAGACAGAGAGACCACAAATTATATGTTTATCTCAGAAATGTGCGCGCGTTGCGCATGTTTTTGCTTGTTAATTGCATTATATGAGTCGCTTTGGAATATAAGTCGCAGCACGTTTCAGATGATAAAAAACGTGATTTATTTTTCAGAAAATATGTTCATCACTGTTACAAGATTTATGTAAAGGCTAACGAGTGATTAGATTACAGAACTAAGCCACTGCAATGGAGCAGCTCTAATGTGCTATTAAATTAAAGATGAAGTACCACAGAGAAGAAAAAAAAAGATCAGTGAAAGTATCAAAATCTTGTAGAATAAACTAACATTATACATATTCTTTTGGTTTCTGTACCCAGTATTTTTAAAAATTACAAATGCAATGAAAATACAGGTATCGTTACTCGGTATCGGCAAAGTACCAAAAATAAAAGTATCTGTATTGGCCTTGTTCTGGAAAACGTGGTATCCATAAATATAATGCATATTTGCTGAATAAAAGCATTAATTTCTATTAAAACACACACACACACAAACATTTGAATGGTAGTATTAGATGGTGTCTACATAAATATGAAGCAGCACAACTGTTTTCAACATTGATAATAATCAGAAATATTATCATATTAGAATAATTTCTGAAGATCATGTGACACTGAAGACTGCAGTAATGATGCTGAAAATACAGCTGCGCATCACAGCGATAATTTACATTTTACAATATATTCACATAAAACATATTGTAATACTGCGTCATAATACTAGTGTTTTTACTATATTCTTGAGCACATAAATGCAGCCTTGGTGAGAAGATGAGACTTAATTTAAAAAATCATAATGTTTCCAATCTTTTGACGAGTACTGTATATCTGTTCACACCTGCATGAACCATAAAGCCATGACACCCATTTTGTTTATGGAAATATTCTGTCTCACAGGGAAGCTGTGGCAGGTGCTGAGCTATCGCTCTTCTAAATGCAACAGACGACATCTTCATGATAATATTTATGCATGTCATAATATTCATTTCACTGCTGTTACTGGGTGTTAATATTTCTGCAGACCACGCTGAAGTGAACGTACTTTACGCCATTGAAAACTAGTCATTTTAATTGCAGGAAACCTAAAAAATTCATTTATAATTCTAATAAAGCATACTATCTTTCATAGATACTCATAACAACAAATGCTTTTTATTTGAACTTTTATTTAGTTTTAGCGGCAGCAAACATTATTACAAAAATAATTAGTAGTCCAAACTGCACAGACTAATTCTTCTGTCTTGCTTTCTCAGGATTAGAAATACTTTATGCGTTCTGGATTCTGTATGTTTGGCAACTATTTTATTCACAATTTAATTTGGTGCCACTAATACAGACATTACAATACGATGGAACGAACAGACAGAGAAACACAGAGACGTCATGAATCTGTATGCGGTCGCGGGTGACTGGCTGCTGCATCAAGTAATGTCTTCTAATTATTCCGAGACGCTTGAGTTTCTATGAGCCTTAATGAGGGTGTGTTGCTATGGGAACAGCGACCATAAGATTTCTGTAATCCACTCAACACAACACTGCTGTCTCAAAATTGCTGTTATCGTTCACTGAAATCCACTTTAAAGGGGTTATATGATGCAATTTCATTTTTTCCTTTCTCTTTGGAGTGTTACAAGCTCTTGGTGCATAAAGAAGATCTGTAAAGTTGCAAAGACTAAAGTCTCAAATCCAAAGAGATATTCTTTATAAAAGTTAAGAGTCAGCCACACCTACCTAAAACGGCTCGTTCGAACACGCCCCCACATATCTACCTCACTATGTGGGAAGATTTGCATAACGCCGCCCAAATGTTCACGCAAAGAAAGAAGGCGTAACTTTTATTCTCGCTGTGCCGTGGAGACACAACGCGTAAAACAACAGTATAAGTCATTATAATCAGTAATTATGTCCCCACTGGATGCAACAAATGCATGGGTAATGGGTTTTCATGTTTTTGTGTCGTTGCTCCGGCCGGACACGGCATCAACACAGTATGGTGAGGGGCGTAACATTTCCGTCTCACGCTTGAGGTATTCGGCCAATCACAACGCACTGGATAGCTGGCCAATCAGAGCACACCTCGCTTTTTCAGAACGATGAGCTTTGTAAAAATCGACGCGTTTCAGAAGGCGGGGCATAGAGGAGAAACAATAATGTACAGTATGTGGAAAATAATGTGTTTTTTAACTTTAAACCGCATAAACACATTTCATTACACCAAATACACCAAATAATGTTCTTTTTAGCAACATCATATGACCCCTTTAAGGAATGTAACATATTTTTATGGTAAATAAAATAAATACTTGAGTAATTACCATTTATATTAACATTAAAGGGATAATCCACCCAAAAATTAAAATTCTGTCATTAATTACTCACCCTCATGTCTGTCACGATCACCAGCTGGAGTGCCTATCCCATACCTTTGCCACTCTATCCTGGACTGCATTTCCCATAACCCATTGGCCGGACTCATCATGCCTGATTGTTTTCACCTGTTGCTCATTACCTATATAAGCCTGGTGATTTCAGTCACTCTTTGCAAAGTCTTGCATGTGTCACAGCTGCCGTTCTAAGCCTTTTATCCTCGTTCTCTCGTGTCTTGTTTTCCTGGTTCTTGATATTCTGCCTGTTTATCTGGATTACTCTGTTTGCCTCAGCCCTGAACTCTGTCATTTTTTGGACTGCTTATTGTGTTTGACCTCATGCCTGCTTTGACTATGACTATCAGAACGCATGCATCGTGGTATCCTCGTGAATGGCGGCAGAGACTGACATGAATAAAGTCATTATTATTGTTTTCTTTGTGCACAAAAAGTATTCTCGTAGCTTCATAAAATTAAAGTTGAACCACAGATGTCACATGGACTATTTTTACGATGTCCTTACTACGTTTCATGGGCCTTCAATGTGGTTGTCCTCAATTGCTGTCTATGCAGGGTCAGAAAGCTCTTGGATTTCATCAAAAATATTTGAATGTGTTCCGAAGATGAACGAAGGTCTTACGGGTTTGGAACGACATGAGTGTGAGTAATTAATGACAGTATTTTCATTTTTGGGTGAACTATCCCTTTAACACAATCTCACTGAATGCAGACACTAGTCATGCCTGTACAATAATGTAAAAGCAACCGTGTGAACGTATCTAGGACATTATACAAACTGAATTGAAATACAGTCAGTGTGTCACAGCATAGGCAAAACTTCAGAAATAGTTCACCCAAAAATGAAAATTCTGTTTGATTTAGTAACCCTCATGTCATTGCAAGCCTTTATGCATTTCTTTCTTCTTCTGAACACAAAAATAGACAGTAGTACATTATTATTTATTTTATTATTTAAAACCTGCCCCTAACCTTACCCACTTTAATAGGAGCAAATGTGTTTTACACAACAACATAAACACACACACAAAAAAGAGGTTGAGTTATACAGTGGTGTGAAAAAGTGTTGGCCCCCTTCCTGATTTCTTATTTTTTTGCATGTTTGTCACACTTTAATGTTTCAGATCATCAGACTAATTTAAAGAGTGGCCTAGTCAAAGTCCTGACCTGAATCCTATTGAGATGCTGTGGCTTGACCTTAAAAAGGCGGTTCATGCTCGAAAACTCTCCAATGTGGCTGAATTACAACAATTCTGCATAGATGAGTGGACCAAAATTCCTCCACAGCGCTGTAACAGACTCATTGCAAGTTGTCGCAAACGCTTGATTGCAATTGTTGCTGTTAAGGGTGGCCCAACCAGTTATTAGGTTTAGGGGGCAAACACTTTTTCACACAGGGCCATGTAGTTTTGGGTTTTGTTTTCCCTTAATAATAAAAACCTTCATTTAAAAACTGCATGTTGTGTTTACTTGTGTTATCTTTGACTAATATTTAAAATTGTTTGATGATCTGAAACATTAAAGTGTGACAAACATGCAAAAAATTAAGAAATCAGGAAGGGGGCCAACACTTTTTCACACCACTGTATAACAAGTCTGTAGTTTCTACCAAAATAATTTGGCTGTCTCTATTAGAAGAATAGTTCACCGAAAAATAACAATTCTGTAATTATTTTCTCACTTTCATGTAAACCATATGCTGTTATATTTTCTGAGAAAATCAAACACATCTCTTTTCCATATAACTACAGCTAAAAGTGACATGCTGCAGCTTGATATATAGTTAATGTCAACCACTGCTGTATGAAAAAGAGTTGCATGAAGATTCTTCCATTTTTTTTTTTACACACAAAAAACACCAACATATAGTTTTAGAATGAAAATAAGTGGTAACACTTTAGATTAAGAAGCACAAATTCACTATTCAACTTATGAGTTTTTACCTCCATAAACTCCTAATTTGCTAATTATTAGCAGTTAGCAAGGTAGTTGTTAAGTTTAGGTATGCAGTCGGATTAAGGGATCTAAAATATGCTCATGCAGAATAAGGCATTAATATGTGCTTTATAAATACTAATAAACAGCCAATATGTGAGTAATATGCATGCTAATAAGCAACTAGTTTATAGTGGACAGTGTTCCCTAATCAAAAGTGTTACCAATTCCATAACATTTTTTGGGTGAACTATCCCTTAAGCACACAATGCTTTCTAAGGACAGTAAGAAATACACAAATACTAAAGCATTGGATATCCTGCTGTTCCTGTTAAATCACATTTATAATTCATGCTGACTCTAAGTCAGCTGTTGAGCACTGTAACAATGTCTATTTCTCTTTTATACAACTGGGTTAATGACGGAGTATGTTATTGATCAACACACCAGAGATTGATGGGATTACATCACAGTGCAGACACAATCCATATCAGTCGCAGTCTGTGAGCTGATGCTTTTGACAAATGTTAACACCAGCTGTACATTGCACAAATATTTTAGTTTAGTTAAGATAAGACTGGCGGATCCAGTGATGGATCGGGTGTGTAAACACAACTGAGTTACCGGAACAAAAAACACCAGAACAAGAAGAGCCTAATACAGTCAAAATCCGACTTTATTTTCTTCTTACTTTGACTGTCAAATAGTTCCTTACATAAACTATTTGCACATTGTAGGAAAATGTAGCCAATGTTTTAAATAAGCCAAAGCACACACCTTCACAAAATACAGACATGTAATGTAGAAAATGTTGACGCTTTTATCAGACTTTTCATATTGCATGTCCATAAATCACCTGTATCTCAAGTTTTCAATTTCAAATGAGCAAATCATTTGACTTTTCTTGAATAAAAGTAATCACTGACAAATACTACTGACAACCTCTCTCCCCCAAAACATGCATTAATAATTCTTTCTTTATTTTTGCCTTTTGTTTCATCATTTCATCGCTGAAAAAGGGATTTAAACGCTGCCCACAGGACGAGAAGCCGAATCACTCTCCACAGAAAAGTAACATTTCTTTTTATGTTTATGTTTCCATCACAGAAACAGACTGACTGCTCTCTGGTTGCAGTTGCACTTTACTCTCCAACCAGCACACTTGATTTTACTTTTAAAAGTAATGTTCACACAGAACAAGATGATACTGAGATGTAGAGACCCTTTTCACAGACTGATGACAGCTCTCGGCAATAACAGTAAATCTAGCCAATTTCACTTATATTTTCACATTTTAAAAATGAATCTGCATTTATAACACCATGCTTTGTGTTATACCCAGTGTTGGGGGTAATGCATTACAAGTAATGAGAGAAATCAGATGATGTTACTGTAGTTCTAAAATAAATATGAATATGCATTAGTTTATCTCACTCACACACAAAAAACACAGATTCAGTATTCCTTAAAATGAATAAAAATAATGCAACTCAGAATATGACGCAAACCTGCAATAAATAAATGTTAAACAACACAAATATCCTTTATGTATTTAATCCCATTCTATTTGCTTCTGACCTTCGATGATCCAGTTCAACCGTACTAATAAGCACAACTTACTCTAGACAAACATTTGTGTGTCTTTTTTCATTGCTGAAGCAGTGTTGGGGAAAGTTACTTTTAAAAGTAATGCATTACAATATCGCGTTACTCCCTAAAAAAGTAACTAATTACGTTACTTAGTTACTTTTTATGGGAAGTGATGCGTTATATTACTTTTGCGTTAATTGTTTTTAATATAAGAAGTTCTATTTATAGCAAATATAAAAGCCCTTTCACACCAACAAGTGTAATGAATAAACCTCAGGCTGAAGCAAAAGTAAATTCACGTCTGTACCGTAGAACGCAGGAGAAGAAACACTCTTCAGCAATAAAAAAACAATGACGCACAATTGTTACTTTATCTAAAGTCATTTTTGCCTATTAGTATGGTTGAATTGGATCATCAAAGGTCAGCAGCAAAGAATTTGGTTAATAAAATGGGATTAGATACATTTGTGTTATTTAACATATTTAATTATTGCAGGTTTGTGTCATATTCTGAGTTTGCATTTCACTGTTTTAATTCATTTTGATGAATACTAAATCTGTTTTTTGTGAGTGGGATGAATTAATGCACATTCACATGGAGTCTAGAACTACAGTAACATCATGTTCACACAGCGCACACAATTACTCTGCACTTCCGATTTCTCCCAACATGGGGACAGGAGACCTGTCAGTCAATAAATGGGAAAACAAAGTAACTGGCATTACTTTTTTGAAAAATTTTTTTTTTATTGCTGAAGTGTGTTGAAATTTCTTCTTCTGCATTCTACTGTACGGACGTAAATGTACTTTCCCTTCAGCCTGAGGCTTATTCATTTCACTTTTGGTGTGAAAAGCTTTTATATTTGCCAAAAATAGAACTTTTTTATTTTAAAAACAAACAAGCAAGCCCTGTCCAGATTTTAAAAGTAACACAAAAGTAACGTAACGCATTACTTTCAGTTTCCATAAAAAGTAACTAAGTAACGTAATTGGTTACTTTTTTTAGGGAGTAACGCAATATTGTAATGCATTACTTTTAAAAGTAACTTTCCCCAACACTGGTTATACCCCAGTATACAAAAGTGACAAAAAAGTTAGTTAACACTTCTGCTGAGGCAGTGACTTTCTCTATTCTAACTGACATAATTCATTCTCTTTTGGAAAATCGTAGCAATGCATTGATTGATTGATTTTATTTTTACTGTTGGAATAAATGGGAATGAAAAGAATTATATTCGCTGTAGCCTCTCATTCACTTCCTTAGATGTTCACCCTACTACATATAAACTAGGGGTGCAACGGTTCAACTTCCTCACGGTTCGGTTTGTATCGCGGTTTTAGAGTCACGGTTTCGTTACGGTTCGGTATGTGCTATGTTTAGGGAAAAAACTATAATGTCAAATGAAAATAATGAAGATAACAAATAATCTAACTACAAGCAACAGCACAAATAAATACAATAGAGCAAAGATACAAATAAAATAAACAGTGCTTTTTTAGTTTTTTTTTTAGGTAGGTCTAACAGTTTTCAGGTACAGAAATTGAATAAATCAATTTGTTGAACACAAAAGAAGATATTTTGAAGATTGCTGGTAATCAAACAGTTGGTGGTTGCCATTGACTTCCATAGTAGGAAAAAAAAAATACTATGGAAGTCAATGGCAACCACCAACTGTTTGATTACCAGCAATCTTCAAAATATCTTCTTTTGTGTTCAACATAAGAAAGCAACTCATACAGGTTTGGAACGACATGAGGGTGAGTAAATGATGACAGAATTTTCATTTTTGGGTGAACTATCCCTTTAAGTGAATGTAAACAAGTGGGACAAAAAATAAAAAATAAAACACTGACCGACAAATGGCTTTATATCAGGCTTGTGACTCTGTACTCACCAGATCTCTGTGCAGGACCCAGTTGGCATGCAGGTAATGGATGCCGTCTAAGATTTGGTAAAGCAGAGACTTCACCATCCCCCTCGGTAGCTGCATGGGTTTCTTGTTGGCCTTTGATGCTCGATGAAATTTTATGATGTGCTACAACATATGAAAGTTGCGTGAATTTTTCCTTTAGTTGTTTTGCTGCTAAGGTCACGCACTTCCAAATTAAGATCAGTAACACTCCATCTCTGCTGATCACTTTGCACATTTTTTCACTGATGAGGCGGCAACAATCAGTTTTCAGAAATTAAGCGTTAGCGTTAGTTCTGGCAGGTCACGTGAGTCAAGCTTGCATCAGCTGATTCTCAGCTGATCACATCTACCTATAGGAATACGACACCTGTCTGTACTCACCAGATCTCTGTGCAGGACCCAGTTGGCATGCAGGTAATGGATGCCGTCTAAGATTTGGTAAAGCAGAGACTTCACCATCCCCCTCGGTAGCTGCATGGGTTTCTTGTTGGCCTTTGATGCTCGATGAAATTTTATGATGTGCTACAACATATGAAAGTTGCGTGAGAGCTGTGTACGCATTAGCTGTTATATGATCACAAGAAATCTTTTTCCTCTAGTTGTTTTGCTGCTAAGGTCACGCACTTCCAAATTAAGATCAGTAACACTCCATCTCTGCTGATCACTTTGCACATTTTTTCACTGATGAGGCGGCAACAATCAGGGTCACGTGAGTCAGGCTTGCATCAGCTGATTCTCAGCTGATCATATCTACCTATAGGAATACGACACCTATCGCGGCATTCCTATATAAGCTCTATTCAGTATTATTCAGCAGCTTTTCAGATTCAGCAGCTTTTCAGCTTGCTCAGGAGCAAATTACCCTCCTCCATCCCCAGCTCCTCCTTTCGCCACAGTCAGGACTTGGCTTTCTGATATTCTTTGCTAATCAGACTCCTTTATCTTGAATAAAGTGTTACACTTAAATATTATTAAGTACATTAATGATATCTGCCTTGTTCTGTTCTGTTAACCCTAGGTAGGTTATTATTGCTGCCCTCCCTGCTCATTCATGACAGGCTGCATGGAGGGGCAGGGAGTTTTTTGCCCAGAACAGAACCATACCGCCAAACCAAACTTTATGCTAAGTATCTATCATTTTGACGATAGTGGTCCTGACAGAAACAATATTAATTAAACAGAGGACCCCCTGCAGATCCTAAGTGTCAAGGTCAATTAGGGCTAGATTTACTAAACAGGGCAAATTAGTGTGAGAACGCAATCCCATGAAAGCACAGATGGGAGTGGAAAGTTCTGCATTGGTTTACTGACAATGCGTGAAATAAAGCAAACCGTAGTAAATCATGTTGCACCAAAGAGGGTTTGCCCTGGTGAAGCTGTGAATAAATCTGGTCTTAAAATATTAGATATTAGAAAATATCAGTCTCTTAAAATATTAGATAATTTGACCTTTTTACATGTGCAATGTTTGTTCAGGTTGTGAAATGTGATGCACCTCCCCCCAAAAAAAACAGTATTTATGAATGAATAGTAAAAAAAAAAAAAGTACTTTCAAAAATACATTTAATTAATTTAACATTTAAAATTTTATTTAAAAGATTAATGATACATAAAAAAAACAGCTGGGCCATTCACACTGAACACGTTTTGCTTTAAGGAAGACCACATCTCAGACATTCTGCTGTTGCGTTTAGAAGAAGAAAAGAAAGTCATACAAAACTGAACCTAAAATGAAATGAAAAGGGTTGATTAAATAAAAACTAAAGTGTAACTACTGAAGCATTGCTGACCCTAACAAAAACTAAACTGAAACGCATGCTAAAAAAAAAAGTATTGCGATACAAAAAGTGTAAAATTATAATAACTTGAGTGCATGTGTACTCACCCACAGGTCATGCTCAGCATAGTCGAAGAGGAGCCAGACTTTGCGGTCACTGTGAGAGAGAAATACTTTCTGCAGGGCGATGACGTTTGGATGCTTTAACTCTCTCAGCAACTGCAGAAAAACAGAGACACATTCTTCTGTTCATTCACCAATTGTCTTTAATACACATACATGTAAAGGCATTTAAACTTTCTATCACAAACACTGACTCTGTTTACAACCTGGTGTTAACATCCATCTCGAGCAATCCCATCACAATTGGAGAGCGCTAATAAATACACGTACAAATGATGTTCAGCATCCTGAAGCCTAACTCACTGAAAGTGGTGAGCACTATATTCTGCCTTTGATGTTGCAATCAGCTGATGATAAACCAAATCTAGCACATATCTGTTGCTTTTCGTGTAGTGAACTCTGCTGAATAATTTGCGTATATCGCACAAACTGAAGAGAGGATTTATCTCCGTTCTGCGGAGACACATTTATGTGGCCACGTGTAAATGGAACCCTCACTTATCAATCAAAATGCATGTGGCAACCAAGTGAAGCATTCAATCGAAAAGGCACGTGACCACAACATTTGCTGTGTTAACACTAAGGGCACAAACATGCTAGTATTTAGACTTCTTCAGAAACCCCTCTTCATCAGAAATCCTCCCACTTTAAAATTGCCTAATCGAACAATGGATTCCAAGTTACTTTTTACAGCAGAATGCTAATGGTTATATGTATGGCATAAATCTCCCAAAGGAGGCTGCCATACAGTATGACTGCGGTTCAGTACAAAGCAGTAAATTAACTGACAATTACAGTAGTAATCAACTACTAAAGGTACAGTAATACTGGAGAAAAAAAACGAGTGTTTTTATCCCCAGAAATATGTAAGAAAAGCAAAAACTCTGACTGAAGCATGTACATTTGACAGTATTCTGCCTGTCTCTCTAGATCTTGTAAACACAGCAAGAGTTGGCAGTGCTTGACTTGGGGTTGTGCTTAAGACTTGACTAGTTAACCCATTAAAACACGTCATGTGAAAATGTTTTGTCTAAGGATCTTCTCGCTGCTAGTGCAGGTCTGATCACAGAAAGCATTTGGATGAGATTATAGAAAATAAAGGTTTCACTTGTTACTGTATATACAAGTGTTCACACACACACACACACACACACACACTGCACGTTTTGTCTCGTTAATCAAACACACCTGATTCAGGTCATCAGCTCATGCAAAATGTGCAGTGTTGGGGTGCCTCCAGGACCAGGGTTGGGAACCACTGGCCTAGATAACAGCTCTGAGTTTTCTCCTATAATGCCTGATGAGTTTGGAAAACACCTGACAAGAGATCAGAGAGCATTCCTTCCCAGCTCCATGTTGGTGCTTCTCCTCTTCAGTTCACCACACTCATCTTCTAGTGTTCAGATCAGAGGACTGGGATGGCCATGGCAGACGTTTTATTTTGTGCTCAGTGACCCATTTTTGCATTGATTTTGATGTTTGTTTTGTCCTGATGGAAGATCCAACTATGACCCATTATAAGATTTCTAGCAGGGACATTCAGGTTTTTATTTTTTTTTAAATCTGTTGGTATTTGATAGAATGATGCCATCTATCTGAACAAGATGTCCAGGACCTCCGGCCCACAACATTAAAGATCCAGTAATTGTACACATGGGGTACTTTTTTATTTATTTTTATCCCTGTGTATCCCTTTAAACCCATATTATGTGTGCCAAAAAGCTATTTTTTAAGTTTTATCTGAACATAGAACCCAGTCCCATTTCAAGTTCCAGTAGTGTCTAGCAAATCAATATCCTGGAGTTTTTTGGATGAAAGTAGGGATGGGCGATGTGGACTTAAAACTATATCACAATATATTTCTGGTATTTATTGTGATAACGATATCAATGACGATAATTCATATGCATTCAAAAAACTAGGGTGCTGTGTGTTGTGAGCAACCAGAGGGCGCCCTCGCGCATAAACTCCACATATGCATCACAGAAATAATAGAATTGATGACATTCCAGGAAATCCCTAATATGGACAAAGATACACAAAGATGAGCTTTGACACAATTTGAACACTGCTGTACAGCCCTGACCAAACCAGTTCCAGATTGTAGAGGCAGCTCCTCAATTAACGATAAACTCCTCCTCAGTTCCCTGACATTTGGACATTTTTTTAATATTACTTATTTTTTATTAATATAACTCCAATTGTATTCGTCTGAAAGAAGAAAGTCATATACACCTAGCATGGCTTGAGGATGAGTAAATCATGGGCTAATTTTCATTTTTGGGTGATCTATCCCTTTAAGGGAGCAACATATGTTTAATTTAAATGATATCATCTGATAGCTATATTGTGGAATTTATTTAAATGTATTTTTTACGCATAATGCAACTAATAGAACTAGAAAACACATTAAATGTTGAAAACATAATAACAAACAACAGCATGCAGCTCAACATTTAGCTATAAAATGGTCCTAATGAAGAAACCAAAGTCCAAATAACAATTCCCAACTGATATTAGCCACCTTCAACACCTTTCACCCAGCTCTGGAACAGTATGACTATTGTTTTGCCTCTTCAACAAAGTAAGAGAGGTCAGATATTCAGAGATTGACAAAGAGAGTGTTTGATCCTATTAGTTTGATGGTAACAACATAAGTCCAAGCAGGTAGTCAGACAGTACGTGACCTGTATATCAGCAATACACTACACAAAGAATCGCTTGGATTTAAACAATTCAAACACAATTCAATGGACAAATTGTCTGCAAGCAGCGCAACAACAATGCTCAGTGCCATGACTCATAATGTGGCCTTCTGAGACCTCTATACCCATGGCATTTCAACCATGACAACAATGTTGTTATGCAGTTGTTTTCAATCTCAGGAAAGACCTGGAGCAATTGTGCTGCTACTGATTCAATTCTATGTTAAGGTACTTTGAGAAACTTGGCATGCAGAGTTGTAGTAAAGCGCATAAACAAGTTTTTGGTATAGTTCTTGTGTTTGAGGCTCAGACCTGGCACATTGTTTTGGATTAACGCTAACCAAGTGTTAAAGTAAAAAAATCATATATTTTGTAAGTACTTTTTATTAAAATTCAATGCTGTTTGTAGTACAGACATTAATTATAGCAATCATGTGGATTGTTTAAGCGAAGTGTAATATTACTTTTCTATTCAATAAGAATAAGTTTCACCTAGCGGATCATGAAACCGGTGTAAAAGTCACAATGAAGGACAGAACCAAGCCATATCTCGATACTAGTGCTGGGCGGTATGACCAAAAATTTATATCACGGTATTTTTCAAAATTATACCGGTTTCACGGTACATGACGGTATTTTTTTTTTTCATGCATGACCGGGTGTTAACCATATTTTCTACTGATTGAGAGAGGAAATACTGCAGTATATTGACTTAGAATGCCCTATTTTACTGTCATGATGAGTGAATATTGTCAAAAAATACCACACTAAATAGTGACTAAACACGACCCCTTTTAATACATGTTAACCAGGAGTCACTCTCATTTATAATCGCGGCATCGTCTGATAAAATCAACATGCATCTACACTAAAGAGCGGCTATGCGGTTGTTTTGGCTATATTACTTTTTTGTCTCATGCAGCGCACTGCCTGCGTCTGAGTAACAAACTAAAAAAAACAACAAACAAAAAAGTGCATGTGATATTAACAGACGAACTACGCTCATATTTATAATTCCAAACAATCAGTAAGCGACAGGTGCTAGGAAACGCTGTTTTGTACTCGTTTATTGACGAGTCGGCTGCGGTGCGGCCAACTGAATGCGTTGCTTCTCTGCCGCTCACTGCACAGAACAGACGCCGAGAGAGGTGACACTTCTCCGGGAAAGTCAGACCTCGCGTTCGCGGGACAGCACTGGCGAAATCCTCCAACTGAACCATAGCTAAGGTTTATCCGAAAAATTCGCTAGGTTTGTCAGTATGACTATTCTATGGAAAAAAGCCGCTAAAAGGGTCTGAAAGTTGCTAAATCTAGTGCTAAAGTCGCGCTCGTGTGTGTGAGACGCGGGAGCTGATGGCAGGGGGCGGTGGATATTTGTGGCGGTCAATGTGGATATTGTGGATGAGTTCTTCTGTGTCATCACGTTCTATTAGTTCTACAGCTTCAGTTTCTGAACTTTCACGCTTAGTAACACATACAGCTGTCCCCTCACCACAGTGCAACAGTGAAAAGGGACCCCTTTCAAACAGTGTCGCGTTCCGAACGTTGTTTAAGCGACATACACCGGTATTGCGGTATTTTAAAAATTAATATCATAACAAAAATAAACACCGGTATTCGGTATGAACCGGTATACCGCCCAGCACTACTCGATACCATAATATCAAAGACTTGACAGTGGTTTCTAACCACCCATAACATCCTACAGCAGCTATAATACCCTAGCAACCACCCAAACACCTAAGCAATGTGGTTGCATGACCTAGTACCCTTCACATTTCATTCAGAAAATGTAAAAATGTTATTTCAGACTCTGACTGAAGATACAGCAGTAATGAACTACATCAAACTTTAATACATTTGCTCTCAAACGAAATTTCAGTCTGCATTGAACACTGAACTAATTATCATAATTAAAAATAATAAACATTTTGCAAGAAAAATGCTAATAAAAACTTGAGATTGAATTTAAAAACGTAAATTAAGTTTTACATTGTAATGTACACAGAGATCATAAAACAATGTTTGCTTTAGGCACATAGTAAAAAAGGGAGAACTTATGCACAGGGATATTGTTATGATGAAGAAGCAAAGCCTCTCTAGATTGTCACCGTGTGATGTAGCTTTAAGATTTGCCCTTGTCAGATGGTTAAGCAAAGAAAATGCTGCCAGTTAAATGAAAAAAAGTCAGAAAAGTTATTTTATATGTAACAACTTAAAGGGTGCTTTAAAAATGATTTCCTTAAAGGTATTGGTTGTATTCATACGTTTTTGTTTTTATTTATTTGTTTTTGTATGATTTAATGAAGTGTATGTAGTGCATTATTATTTAAAATCTCGTCATGCCAAGAAGTGGCATTGCAGTCACCATTAAAAGTGTAAAACTTTGAAGACAATGAGCAGATATTTATTCTAGAACATAGGATGCATGTTATAACAGAGATAAACATCCAGTATTTTGAATGTTTTATTTTTCAAATGTTCAGGCAATCAAAAGTTCCTGCAAATAGAGAATCAACCATACAGCTATTTTCTTTTTCTGTGTTTGTCTTTGGTCTGTAAAACTGCTGAGGCTGTTCAACAGCAGGCTGCTGAACCTGTTTCACGATCAGTCTGTTCAAATATGGCCACACCTTAAAAGGCATGTGATCACAATTCAGTCTTTTCAGAACAAACTGATTAGGACCAAGAGAAAGACAAACAGTGGTGCTGACGTACATGGCATTTGAAAGTGAAAATTTGAAAGATCGCCACCCACAATTCAAAGAACAGCTCAGACATAAGAGAAAATATCAAACACTGCCCAAGCACTTAACTCAGTCCAATACAAATAAGCACAAATATTTATGGGCCATTCATTAGTGGTGTTTGCTGAGGCACAGAATCCCATCCTTTAATCCATAACAGCCTTTTTGCAAAGCTGCATTACACTGTGACAAATCCACAAAACAATCCACAATGAAATGAACGCATTTTACTCTTGGTTAGTTCTTGTTATTTAGCAATAGTAGTGTTTATCCTACTTCCTCCGGTTTACAACAAGAATGCTACATAATCTCCACTCGGTTTCCTCAATGTGTCATTATGCACATAAAGAAAAAAAAGCAGCATCAACTATGACTTAAGACCAAGTACATTTTTCCTGCAACATAATACCAGAAAAATTATTTTAGAAAATAACGCTAAAGTTTCCATGAAATTCAGATGTTTTATTTCAGCAGCAGCCATGCAACGAGTTGGCAGCTTTATCAGCGGTTTGAGTGTGTTTTATGCGAGATAACATCTGTGTTGCGATCCTCAGTCCTGTTTGGTTGTTTCTCTGTTTCAGGTTTCTTGGTCTTACAGATTTTGTTTTTTTCCTTCTCATGCACTTCCTGTCTTGTGTCTTGTTCCGTCTGTATCAATGAATGTTTTCACCCATTTTGCACATTTAATAACTAACATATTATTCTTAGAGTTTTGTCAGGTAGTCAGATTCATTTGCTTTTTAAAAAATATTTGAGATGATTATTGACCAGAACAAGCAATTCACAATTCAAAAGAACACACTTCTTGATCGATGCATCTGAATCAACAGGATATCAATGTCTCCCTGCCAAACACGCTTATTTACCTATTATTCAGATGGATTATTGTTCCTGTGAGAGCGGGCGCAGCCATTTGTAAATTTAATGTGTCTGGCTTCAGGTCTCATCCGCTTCCAGCTATTTTTAGCTGTATAAAAAAGCTTGTTTTGCTGCTTTGCAAACTAGTGTGTCTTACCATGTTTATAACACACTGGTTTGTAGTGCAAACAGTTTTAGCGTTTACTACTCTTGGTTATTATTCTCGTTATTTCCCTACAGCGGCTAATGAACTGGAAGTCTCGCACAAATTACAGAAAATGGCTTATTTCCGTGTTGAAAAATAAGGTGGATATAATATGAAAAAAACTGATGCCCTGGATGACCTAATGCAGATTATGTAAAATACTTGGGAATGTATTCATGCCACGTATCTGGATACTTACAGAACATATTTCATACACACTCGAGAAGTCAGTTCTTGAATTCAATTCAATACTCTGAAAGTCTCTCTCTCTTTATTTACTTACATTAACTATACTTTTCATTAAATATTCCAACTTCCAGTCTCTCATTTGATTATCATCTCAACATTGCCCACTAATTGCCCACATATACATCGATATATTGTACAAACTCGATATACCACCCAGCCTTACCTCACATCTATCCTATAGTCCCATATTATTACCTTGTTATTATCATCTCACTTATTTTTTTAAATCAGTCAGCGCACATAATTCTTCTTCATATTATCAAGTAAAGCTTCAATTATGCCATGTGATTGTGGGAGAGTATAGCTGATTTGTGTGACCCAAGGAACGCCTTTAAAGGCAAAACAGCCTGAACTGTTGCAGATGGTCACCTACCACAGAAATTAGAAACAATGTTTTCCATTATTATGCCTACAGTCACACCAAATACACAAAATAATGATCTTTAAAAAAGCATCATATGACCCCTTTAAAGGATGATTTCAGGTTATTTTAAGTAAATGTGAAAGGCTTTACTTGATCTTGGTTACACACAGAGCGACTGGTAAATTATTCTATCATTCTAATGTCAAGCTAACACACATATACAGTAGCCTAATATTTAAGAATTATATTTTCGAAAACAGTGTTAAAGTTGCATTCATTTATTGCAGTTATAGTTCATAGAGCTGCACACTTGCTGCATTCCTCTGTTAATAAATTACTGTATGCATATTTTTTGTTTTTGTTTTTAAAAACTGATTGTTGATAAAACCAAAAAAACAAACAACTGTATGCAGTAAAGTAGTTAAAAAAATTGTTGCTTTTAAGTAACTCACAGCAATTTCCCTGCAGGCAGACATGGAAATACCAGTGCCTTCTATCTGTTTCAGTGCATACTCCTTCTCATCCTTCCTGTAAAACACAAACACAACATTACTAAAGGTGAGGAAAAACAGCTACGCACATACCGTAAATACAACACTTACGTCACAATATTAAATCACTCTATTTACATGAAAAACTAATAAACAACTATCTATTGTATTTCAGCAAATAATATGTAAGACATGAATAACAATATATTATTCATTTTAATTTTCAAATGATAAGGTAATAAAAGTATTAACCATTAACAAGTATTCATTTACACAATAATGTACTTAAATTTTTGCTAATATCAAAAATACATTTTGCTAACAATAATAATAGTTCATTTAAAATAAATAATGTGCATTGATATTACAGAATTAAATAATAAGCAAGCTATGCGAAATTTACAAACAATGCGATAATATATATTAAAAATATATATAAAAAAAAAAAATCACAATTAATCTCAATACACTGTTCACAGTCGGCAAAAGTCAAAGAAAATGTATTAATTTAGAAAATACATCAAAATATCAAACTAATCAATATCACTTTTTTTTTTCCCCAAACAAATTTTTCACAAAAAATAACTTAGGTTTTAATTCATAAAAAAGCAGATACACTTCTCAAAACTGTATGGCCACATAAAGATCATTAGACAACTGAAATATTATGTAGGTATTCTCAGCCCCCTTCGAGCAGTGAAGCAGGTTTCTCTATCAGCGTATCAACTTAAGAGTTCATGATTCTACCAAAAACAGATCTGTGAACCAATTTCTATCTTGTAATACTGATGTCTGAAGCAATATTTGTTACTATTTCTCCTCTAATTTACATGATTACTCATGGTTTATTTATTTATTGCTAATCAGGCGAATAGAATGAACTAAATATTAAATATCCATTTTCTCCAAACTAACTACTTTGCAATGATTTTAAACTAACCGAACAAAAGATCATTTTTTAGTAGATGTACAAAGCCCGCCTCAAGTTGATATGTCCCATTAACATTTCAGAACCACACAATGATTATTTTTGCCTTAATTTCCAAAACAATATCTATACTTTAATTATTTTAAAAATAAACTCAGTGAAACATCTAGCATGCAAAGCGTTCTTGAGTTAACTTTGTTAAAAATAAACAACACTTGTTTGTATGCTTTGTTACCCAATGCAATGAAATGCACTGTACTTATAGCGTTAACCATTTTTAAACAAACTATTATTATTTAAACATTCTATTTCCCTCAGTATCCAGTGATGGCTGGCAGCCTGTGCATATATTTTAATAGAGATCGTCAGGGCAGGGCAATCTAACGCTTCAAATGTGACTTTCAGAAATGCAAACCTGAGAGAGGACGGAATTATTCAGATGCAGTGGTTCTGGATTGTTTCTAAATTATAATAATCATAATAAATGTGAATTGTATCATTTCTGTGCCACTCCACTTTATAGTTACACATGACTAATTGGGAGCACTATGCATGCACAAATAAAAAAACCCAGCCTTACAAACCTGACATGGTCAGCTAACAAGTAGTGAAGATAAACTGATTTATTATATTAAGATTCTTCCATGAGTGGTTATACATGCTTTTGAAATTAAAGTACACCAAAAACCATAGGAAGCTACGAGTTTTGCACTTGCAACTTACTGAAACAATCTGCACAGTTTAACTAGCAGCTCTGGTTTCCCCCACAATCAAAATACATGCAATGTAGACGTGCATATGAGTGAGAGTGTGAGTGTGTGTGAGCCAGCATTCTACGCAAGCAAAGGCAGATATTGTGATCATGTTCTTGTTTGATGGAGAAGTGAATGCATCTGAAAGACTGCATCACACAGAAGATTCTGTCATCATTTACTAAGCCTCAAGTTGTTTCAAACCTGTTCTTCTACTCAACACAAAAGATGTTTTGAAGAATGCGTGTAACCAAACAGCTGATTGGTCCCCAATGACTTCCATTGTACGTTTTTTCCTCACTACTGGAAATCAATGGGGACCATTAACTGTCAGGTTACACACATTGCTCGAAACATTTTCTTTTGTGTTCATACCTCAGTGGCAGCTTTATTGTGCCTTTATTGAGAGTGTGCGATTAACAAATAATCAATATCAGGTATTCTGATGAAATACAACTCTTTATATTACTTCTGAGTGAGTGAGTGATGTGTAGCCAAGTATGGTGACCCATACTCAGAATTTGTGCTCTGCATTTAATCCATCTACGTGCACACACACAGCAGTGAGTAGTGAACACACACACACACACACACATGAACTCCTGCACATATAACCTCCTGTACAAATGAGTATATGAACACACACACACACACTGCTGAACACATAAGCATATGAACTCCTATACAAGTGAGCATGCTGTGTAAACTCCAGCACGTAAGAACTTCTGCGCATGTAAACATGCATTGCTGAACATGTGCACTGCTTTTAGGAAAATGTGAACTTCTGCACAAATAAACAGGTGAACTCCTGCAGACACTGAACTGCGGGAATGAAGGACACACATAAACATGACACCCAGCACGACATGAACTGCTGGACATCTAAGCATATAAACTCCAGCACATGTGAAAGTACGAACACTTGAATCCCTGCATATATAAGAGAAGGTAAGCACGTGAGCTCCTGCACATAAGAGTGAAACATGCATCACGCTGGTTTGGGGGAGGACCGTTTGAAGTGCGTCCATGAAAACAAAAACAATCACACAGAGTAGAGATAAAAGCATAATTCCCCCGATACATATGAACACCCTGCACACACACACTGTCAGCAGAAGCGCGTAGAGTGAGTGAATCGCGTGCATCTTACCCGTCTTTACGCTTCGCTTTATAAACATGCCCGTATGTGCCGCGACCCACTTTACAACCTTCATATTCAAACAGATCTTCCACTCTCTCCCTCTCGGCGGCGAGCTTCGTTTTGAAGTCGTGGTCCATTTTAACCCATAAATGTTTCTTAATTTACAATAAAATAAAATATTAATTATTACATGCATTAATTAAATGATCCGATCGTTTTATTACCCCACCATTTCCTTGTTTGGGATTTTGGTCGGCTCCGCTTAATGGTCACGTGTTCGATGACGCATTTTATTGTGGCGGATTGCCTTCTGGGAAATGTAGTGTGGTTCGATCAACCCACCGGTTTGAGTTAACGACGGGAGGACGTCTGTGAACTACAACGCGCAAATCGCGATGTTGGACGTCGTTCCATTCCCTTTCAAATTTTTCAGGCCGTTGGAATATTCAAACTTGGCATTAGCTGTAATTCCAACAGAAGTACAATAATAACTTGTGTCCTCGAAACATTCAAAGTACTGGCACACAATGAATAAAAGGTGTAAAATACACGAGCAAACCATAATTTTTCTTCAACAGACTAGTGAATAAACTGGCACCAATTCCCAATGCACTGGCGCAGCGTTATAACAAACGCAAATGTTTATTCGTCTATACAAGGGCATAATACAAGCTGCGCTACTGCAGTGTGAACTCATACCTTTACGCAACCGCCAATTTTGATTGACAACAGTTACAGCCAATCGTTGCTGACATGAGGGCGGCTTCTTGGCCGTGATTGGCAACAACGAGGATGACGTCAGCGGGTAGGTAATAAAAACTCCGCGCAGGCTGCCATTCTGCGCTTACACAGTATGGCCGGAGACATTAGCTAACATTTGCCTACGGTATTCTCTGTAAAAGGGAAGACGGTAAAAGAAAACAAGGCAACTACATCTGGACTGCTCAAGGACTGTAACTAAGCTAATAAATTATAACAACCAACAAAGGACTAATTTAACTGGGATTCCATCCGACGGTTTAATTTCTGTTGTTGGAGTCTGTTTGTGTCACGATGGAAGAGAGCAGTGCACACTTCTTCGAGGGGACCGAGAAGCTCTTGGAGGTGTGGTTCTCCCGAGAAGACGAAAGCAAAGGAACCGGGGATCTGCGCACTATCCCCAGGTGGGTGAATCCGTCCGACCCGCAGCTGGGACTGGATTTAAACGAGGCGGATTTAGTCATTCACGACAATCAGTCGCTTTAATCATGCTTAAAACCTGCACGAACCCTGATGTGGCGTTAGTGATAGTCACACTGATAGTCCCGAGTGAGTGAGATTGACATGTGGCGCTGGCTCTGACACCCGAGGCGTGATCAGCACTTTTAGCCATTTTGACACCATCCCCCCTTTACTCTCATTCATTTGAGCTGTCAGGACTGGAGCTGAACCTCGAGCCCCAGAGTTTATATTCGTTTTGCTTGCTTAAACTATTCCGAATCGTCATGAACAACATATTTAATCAGCGTCTTGATACAGGTGTTGTTGTTATTCTGGCCCTGTCCGTGTCTCTTAACATCGCTCTGCAGTGATCACCTGTCATTCGAGTTGTGGCTCGTTTCGAGTGATGTTTTGCTTTATTTGGGACAAGCCCTGTTTGTGTCTGAATCCGTTATTGGTGAGCTGTGAGTGCTGATCGATTGATTAGCCGCTGGCTACAGCTAGCTGATATGGCGCCATAGCAAACACGCCTCCTCAAACACAGTTGTCCAACATTGCTGGAGTGCGTCTGTCCACATCGACGCATTCTGGATGAAAAGATTTGCAGTTGCAGTTGAAATGCTATTGACTGCGTTGCAAGAGAGCTCTATTTTTGGATGGTGTCATGGCGGTTGATCCTGCGCCGCAGCCTCCATGTGAAAGTCACGAGGCTGCGTCACACGTCGTAAGCTCCGCCCACGCGCTGTGATTGGTCGGGAGCTCCGGTCGCTCATTGGTGGGTATTAAATGTGCGCACTGCGCGGACAGAGCTAGATGGCATACAGCAAAAACTACTGCGCATGCGCACATCAATATTGCGTAACTTTTCTCACACTGTACAACAATAATGACTATTTTTGCGTTATTGTAAGGGGTAGGTGTAGACGTCAATAAAACACAATCTAATAGGTAGAAAATTCAATTTATTGTTAGCTTCCGGTTTTTGCTGAGCTTGTAGATCAAAGACTGAGACAGAAAACTTCATTTTACAACATTAGTACAACCACAACATGCAATAATGGTTGGACATTAGAATGCACTTGTCTTGATGTCTATGTATAATACAGAGTTATGATGACGACAGAAAACTTCTAAAAATAATAATAAATAAACACTTTTTATATAGAAGTGTTGTTAAAATATATGTTAAAGTCAGGTTTCCAGCTCATATAGAAAATAAGTGTAAAATATGACCGAGCAGTTCCTCTGATGTATCTGTAGTATCCTGTATCTCTGTGGTTTCTCTGGGTACGGCTGGCAGAATGAATGATGAGGGCTATTAGTTTCCTCCGGGAAAGCGCTAACACTCAGAGACACTAGAAAGAGGATCGTTGGAGTCAGTTTCCACATACGAGCTGCAGGCCCCTCGTCCTCCTACAGCATGAGCAAGCACTTTACTGTGCTCAAGTCCGCCTTCGTCTAGCGATTCATTCATATTAGCTGTCCTTGAGACACACAATCAAATAATATTTTCACAGTTTGTATCATTTGACCATTACAGTTTGAGTGGAAATCAAAAAACAGTCAAAATATTTTGATGACCTTTTATCTTGTTTTTTTTTTATATGGCTCATATTTTATCAACAACTACACTCATTCATACTTTTGAATGGTTTAGATTATAATTTATTAAAAAAATATATATTAAGACTTCATTTATAGTTAATAACACGCCACCAATGGGACATTAGTACCTGTAGTTGAAGAAACACTAATACATAATAAATTATGTATGGTTATTGAGAGGGAACCTATAGCAGTGTATTACTAGAGACTCATGTTACTGTCTTTGGTGTAATCTGGAAACAGTTTGACGGTCAAGCATGTGACACAACCCTCTACGCACACCGTGGAAATATAATCGCCATTGGCTAGTTAATTTTTTTGTTTACTCGCCGCCAGACTGATATACTATTTTCGAGTGTTGAACGCCTCTCACACACATACTGGCGTGTAAAATCTAAGAATTTATTAGCCAATGGCTAATGTTAGACATTATTTAGTCACCCAGAGTAAGATTTAGTTGCATATGCGAGTGATTTACTCACAATGTAGAGGGTTGTGACAACTGAATCAGTTTTTTAACAAGACTTTTACATGTCATACATCTTATCCGAAATGTTTATTTGACTAAAGGTAGTAACTAGTAGGGCTGGGCGATAAGGCAAAAAAATAAAATCTCGATTTTTTTCAGAGCGTTTGACCAATTCTCGATTTGTACGATTTTTAACAAGTCAACTTGAAAATGTAACTCTGTCAAAGACATTAAGATGTCCGCATCAAAAGAAATTGACAAAAGTGATTTTATGTCCATAGAAAGCACATTAAATGCAAGTAAAGTGTCTACATTTAAGGTTTCAAATACGGTTTTGAAGAATAAAATGTCAAAATTTGGTTTAAATAATGTTACATTGTCATTCAGTGTAACACAATATTTATGTAAAAATTCAAACAACATGCTTATTCTGAC